TAAAAATAAAAATTTTAAAAAGCCTGGCATCAGTGGCTCACACCTGTAATCCTAACTGCTCAGGAGGCTGAAATCTGAGGATTATAGTTCAAAGCCAGCCCAGGCAGAAAAATCCTCATAAGACTCTTATTAACCACTCAAAACCAGCAGTAGAACTGTGGTTCCAAGTTGTAGAGCAACAGCTTTGTGCAAAATTGCTCAGGAACAGAGCCCAGGCCCTGAGTTCAAGCCCCATGAGTGACAAAGAAAAGACAGCTCTAAAAGTAATTAACTTTATAAATGGGCCTGACATTTTAATCACCTATTTTAGACCTATTTTACAACACCATAGAAATGTTCCTCTATATGAGCCAGAAATAATGAAGCACTTTTAACTTCTACTTAAAGCTGTATATAATATACCTACTTATAGCTCAGAGATGAACATGTTTATCATACAAAAGGCCAAGTTGACCACCAACACTAAAAAAAGTACTGTATTTAACTCAAGATTATAATAGTGCAATATTTCAAAGTCTAATATGGTAAAGGTAGCCATGACACAAAGGCATTTTTAGTCTCAACAACACAACCCCTGAGGTTGAGAGAAGAAGACTGCAGGAGCAGAAAGTTCCAAATCCTATGTTGCATCAAAACAGCCAAACCCCACTTTAAAAAAAGTTTGATTCCATAGGCATCAGTTAAAAATCACTTTTAAGCTAAGTGCAGTGGTATACACCTGTAACTGCAGCTCTTACAAGGGAGAGCAAGGGTGCAAGGCCAGAATTAAGCAACCTAGCCCAGGCCATAGAGGAAATTCCAACCTCAAAATTATGGAAACAGCTGGGTGCTGGTGGCTTATGCCTGTGATCCTACTTAATCATGAGGCTGAGATCTAGAATCAAGATTCAAATCCAGCCCAGAAAAAGTCAAGTGAGCAAAAGAGCCAAAAGTACAACTGTGGCTCAAGTGGCAAAGCACTAGTGTTGAGTAAAAAATAGTAGGGACAGTGCCCAGGCTCATGTACACACACACACACACACACATATATATATTTATAAATATATGTACAAATATATGAAAACAGTAATAGCAACAAGAGGACACTTTAACAATAAAGCATTTTTGACTAATGAAAGAGTAATACTGTAGAATGTTAAAAAATTCAACTGCAAAAATCAATTTTATGAAATACACATATTCATCTCTTCCAATTTCTTAGTCTTCTGGTTAAGATAAAGTATAGAACACATCTTCTACCTTAACAAAGTTTTGAAAAAGCACTTTACAAGTACTAAAGTAATGGGCTGGGAAGGCTGGCTCAGTGGTAGAGTGCTAGCCTTGCATGCATGAGGTCCTGGGCTCGATTACTCAGCACCACGTAAGCAGAAAAAGCCAGAAGTGGCACTGTGGCTCAAGTGGTAGAGCACTACCCTTGAGCTGAAAGGCTGAAGGACAGGAGCCAGGCCCAGAGTTCAGGCCCCACGACTGACAAAAAAATAAAATATAAAGTACATTAGTAAATCCTTAAGATGTTGCTATAGGTAGAAAGGGTACAAAAGCCAGGTCCAGGTATTTTTTGGGTCCGGTCTTGAGCCTGAACTCTGGACCTGGGTGCTGTCCCTCAGCTCTTGAGCTCAAGGCTAGCAGTCTACCACTTGAGCCACAGTGCCACTTCGGCTTTTTTTTTTAAATTTTTTCTGCTTATGTGGTACTGAGGAATCGAACCCAGGGCCTCATGCATGCAAGGCAAGTGCTCTACCACTGAGCTACCTTCCCAGCCCCAGGTCCAGGTATTTTATATCAAATTATACCCTACCAGCAAGTGTGTAATTGATAACTTCCTATTCTTTTCCTTCCTACTGATTTATAAGGCTGTTGATATTTCTCTGTAATTAAAGATCTATTATTAAGCTAAAATTTAAAAAGACAAAACATTTAGCGTGCAAAATCTTTAGCTTTTCACTGGTTCTGTAATACTGTTTCAGTTCATTGAATATCTTACACACCATTGCTTTAAGCAGTAATACTGGCTACATACTTCAAGCAGGAATAACATAGCTGTAGTACCACAACTAATGCTAGTGGTACTCTCCCATAATCCCAGCACCAGGGAGCTGAAGGCAAGTAACAGACTTTGGAAACTCAATGAAAATTTACAATTATAGCCAATGCATTTATGTCTGTGAGGACAGAATTCAGAATCAAATGTTAACAGCTCTTCAATTTCAAGGCAATTTATGAGTCTTTAATGCGCTTCTAACAATCCCTCATTGATCAAATATTTTCTAATGAGAAAAAAAAGTAAACTGCTCCTATGCAAAAACTCATCATCTTACACTGTGTAAACCTATATACAATATAAGAAACCCCGGGTATGACAACATTAAGAAGAGGACAAAAAATATGCAAGGAACTAGGGATGTCAGCTTAACTACTGAGGGCCTATGAGCAATATAAAGGACAATCCCTTCATCACCAAAGTGGTGGTGACACAAATGTAAAGAATATAAACTAGTAAAGAAGGAACCCCTGAGTTCACACTTCAATACAGTAAAAAGTAAAATAAGTCTGTTTCAGGAAAAAAAACAAAACAAAACTTACTCTAGGTAAACTAGCCTCAAATGTAACTACTATTCAGTGGGAAAAGGTTTCTAGCAGACACTAGATTAAAAAAAAAAAACATACCAGCCAGGCTCCGGCTACTCAGGAGAATTGAGGTTCAGCGAACTGCAGCTCAAAGTCAGCTTGGGCAGAAAAGTTTGCCTGAGACTCTTATCTCCAATTAACCACTCAAAATCTGTTAGTGGTGCTGTGGCTCAAATGGAAAATCAATAGCCTTGAGTACAAATAGGCTCAGGGGCTGCACGCCCAGGCCTGCAGTTCAAGCCCCACAACCAAGGGAAAAAAAAAAAATACTGGGAGCCACTTATAGCTGCATCATATCTCTCATTTTACAGACAGACACACACACAGTGGATTATGGCTGCATAAAATTTCAAACGTTCAAACATGAACTTTTAGTACACACAAATGTGGCTAAATGTCCTTCCCAACTCCTGCCAAACCCGCAGCTCACTTTTAAGGTAAAATAGGTAAGAGTCAAGTCTAAGTAGAACCAAGCACTAGATTTGTAGCATAAGAAAAGTAATCAGTAATATTCCAGAGTTTCACTATAGGAAGTATATTATGAACTGACTCAGGAAAAATCATGAGAAACCAACCAAAGATTATAAACAATTTTTACAAAGCCAAACTGATTGCCTTATAAAAAATGAAAATTGTGCAGCAGACTAAAAACCTAATAAAATTAGGTAAGAAATTACATTCTAACATCTACATGATACAAAAGAACTTGTTAAAACAAAGCAAACGCTTTTTCAATAAACTGGAAAATGAAACCTAACCATGTGTATGAGAGGAATGATGATGCATTACCCAAGACAGGAAAAGTTTGTACTAAATCCATTCCTTGTGGTCCAGATAAACCAATCATCTTCATTGGTTCTGGGAAAGAAACCTCTTACTTTCAGTGAGTAGTCAAATTTCACTTAGTTCATTTGTCTGACACCAAGTTTTATCAAGACTATAAACCAGTTACATGTTAATAGATCATACTCTAAATAAAAACTACTTTCCAACAGGCACTGCTTCTAGTTTATGCAGACAGTTTACAGTTTTGTAAAAAGCCTCTAAGAATCCATGATACTCTGCAAAACTGTGACTCCATGCTATTACCACGTGACTAACCCACAAAACTAATCAATGTATTAAGGAAAATCTGGCTGAAAATAGGAAATCGTGATCAGATACACTGAAATGAAAACGTGTGAGAAATCGTTGTGGGTATGCACAATACCCACGTATTAGAAGAAGGCTCGTCATAAAAATAGCCAAGACTCTCAAACATCTGAGATGCTTGGCTTAGTGAGATTGACTGACAGACAACAGCTGGGGGAGATTTTCTATTAATCTTGTAACCTCCTGGCATACTTCAGGAAAAAGAAAATCGGAAGGAGATCATTACAGTGGCAAAAAAACAAAAAACTGTTAGGACTTCATTTTCAGTTACTTGACCCACCCACCCCCAACACACACACACACACACACACACAGAAAGGCCCTGAGAAATTCCTCTACTTCAGAATCCGTTTTCCAGCCCTGATCACATAGCAATGCATCTCCTCAAAGGAAACGAACAAAAAGAACCTCGTGGAGAAAAGGAAAAGAGAAAATAAAAAGGGTTTAAGAAAAACCTCTCACAGGGTACCTGACAGAAGTCACCGCCCCACCTGCCCCTCCGAGTCCCACGTTTTAAATCTTCAGAACTCTCCCCTTTTCTTCCGTAATAGAGGCACTTAAGGCGCCGCCCCGATTTCCCAGGCCGTAAAAATCATTTCGCCCCGCCACATTTCAAGGTTTTTTTTTTTCTACTTCACTCTTCCATTCGACCCTTTCGCCGGCTCCCCTCCCCCCCGCTCCGACACTAGAGATTCGTGGGCCCCGACCCCGAACAATACGAAGGTGAATTCCTCAGATTCCGCCCGACGCCCCCCTCCCCCGGCGGCGGGGAGGGGTCTGAGCCGCGGGCCGCAGCTCCCGCCAGGCCTGGCCGGGCCGGAACCAGCCAGGGCCGGG